TAATTTACGAGGTTACCAATTTTTCTGCGATTTTTACGATTTTTTACTGTTTGTTTATATCATTTAACCAAAATAAGTGGATAAAAATGATAAATGGAAATAGGAATTATAACTGGTTTACATTTGTAGATGAATTAAGGGTTTGTATATTTGCTAACTTTCTTTTCAATTTGCTAAATATACGTTTATGAAAAAGAATAATGGAAAGACAAAATTACTTTCTTTATAAATTTATTATAGATGTAATCCTATGAATAATTTATGAAATTTAAATACTATTTAATTTCAATTTTAAAGAATAAGACCTAATAATTAGAGCTCCAGCAGGACCCCGGATAATTCTAAGGTAGGTGGGGGGTAAAAAAAGGGGTAGATTTTTTGGGCCGAACTTGTCTAAATTCTGGTCAAAATTACAATTTAATTTTAATTTTGACCAGAATTTAGACAAGTTCGGCCCAAAAAATCTACTCCTTTTTACCCCCCCACCTACCTTAGAATTATCCGGGGTCCTGCTCCAGCCCACAAAACGCCGCCGCGTTTTTCTAGTTTTAATTATAAAGTGCAATTTTATTGATGTCAAATTATATTGATCGTATTTCTCAATTAATACGTGACGCAATGTTTTTAATCTCTTGTAAAGTTTATAAGTATTTCATGTTACTAATCTATTTACTGGCAGTACGTATCTGTCTTTAGGATAATACATAATCCATGATTCTAATTACCTCGCAAATTGCCAAATTACGTTGGTATGTTGTAGAGCCGAAGGTGTACTTTCTAAATTTTCATTTTTGTGACAGAAAATCATTACTTTAACGTGACTTTATAAAGATGATCTTATTAGGGCTAATTTTGATTATAATCTAAATAGCAGAACCGATTACTTATAACTCTGGTCAATTTGTTGATCGTTTGGCCAAATTAAAAATGTTTTTGATTCTGAATCTGGCCAAATGACCCCACTTACGTACAAAAATTAGCCAATCACCATGAAAGCCCGCCATGCTTATGACCTTTAAAAAAAACTATGTATCCAAATTCCTTACACGACATCACACTATAAAATCGAGCCACTTCAGTGCATTTAAGGAAATGACAACTCTATAAAAAGATGTCAAGGATGTATAGATGTGTGCTTAAATTATTTTTGAAAAAAAATATTTTCGGCAAGCATTTAGGAATCCTAGTAACTATGCTATATGTTATATTTTGATGAAAAGGATTCAACAATAATTTCGGCAAATATGAAAATTAATTTCTGCAATTATGAAATACTAATTTCGGCTAAATGCCGTAATAACTTTTTATTATGATATGCAATTTAGGCGCACATGTATATGAGGATACAATTTTACATATAAGAACAGTCCTAAATTTAATAAAAACACCCTAATCCTAATGATAATCAGATAAATAATTCTAGCTAATATCTGGACTGTACTCTGACGAAGGAATCCTGTTCTTGATTGGACGGAATACATCTGAATCCCATTATTAAAAAAAGAAAATGTTTATTTACAATACTTTATTTATAAATATACATATCCTCTTAGCAACCATTTAAAACCAAATACAATATATACACAATGCTATAGTAAAAATCATTTAGAAAATGCAAATAAAAACAGTGGATAAAACGAATCCACTATATTCACTCAATAATGCAAAACCTTATTGATTATTTAAATCAAAATATCGCCTAGCCTTTTCCAAAACTTCAAAGTACCTATAAGACTTGTGATTCAAGAAACAATTAGGAATAGATTTTTCGATACAATCCAACTTTCTTTGTGGTCTCGAGATAAGTTTTTGTAAACTTGATGAATCATTTTCAAGTAAAGTTTTTAATTCATCAAATTTTAATCCATGTTCTAATAATTTATTATTTCCGAATAAACTTTTTTGTTTTGATATAGGTTTTCTACCATCATGGAAAAATCGAACTTCATTTCCAATATGAGCGTTATTTAAAACTTCAACTTTTTTGGTAAAACGTCTAACAGTTTGATTATCAAATGTTGGTGGTAATTTAGGAATTAAATCATCATCAGTAATAATCCTCCATAAATTTTTACCATAATTTAAAGGATCATTAGCTAAATAAGAAAATTCTGCTGCAAAATCAGTATCAACACAAAGTGGACTTGCGAAAGTGAACGCATCACGTAAAATACAATTTTCATCTAAACTTGATGGAGTTTTCATTAACCAAGCATAGAATAATGTTGCAAATGCTGCACCTATAGAATGCCCAGTGATCCATAAACTTACTGGAAGCTTATTTTTTTGATTAATTTCTGCAACTTTAATTCGAATCGTATCAGCCATTCTTAATGCAGCACAATGATTTGCATTATTAGTTCCAAATAATGATTTGAAATAGCCTTCGTGAACTTTACCAAAAAGATATGGTCTTGCATCCATGCGTTGGAAAGTCGTGTCAGTTAACATTTGAGCAAAACTGGTTGTAGTTGTTCCTCGAAATGCCACAACAATAAAGTTGTTTTTCTAATAAAATATAAATTAGTTAATTATATTTAATATATTATAAAAATTAAAAATCAAATAATTTAACAATATGATATGTTCATTACCTTGGACCAAAACATGCCAGCATAGCAACCACCAAGATGGTTCAATTCCGATATAGAAGTAAAGTCAAGATCAAACTGATCTACCTGCTCCCTAATTGTGTTTTCACTATCATAAAGAAGTTTTAATACTGTTCGAAAATCTCTGTCCGTTGGCTTTTTTTTCCTTGCATTTAATTTGGTAAGTGTCTCGTGTGCATTATGAACCATATTATCGTCTCGATTATATAAAATAGAAGAAAGATATAAAAGAAACTCTGCTCTATCTAGATTAAAATCACATTCTCGTTGATCAGACAGATCCAAAGGTTTATTCAAGGATTCCATGCCAATTGACAACTGATGTGCTATTTACATATAAAAATAATAAGTTAGAATTATAAACAAAATAAATAATTATGAATATGAATGGTAGAGGACTTACGAATATTGGTAAATGACAGTTGTTCCCAATGTGCAATAACATTTCGTTGATGATGTTTTCGAGAGAGGCCCCATGATAATATATTTAATCCTGCCTCTAAATAAAACAACCCAATAGCTAATACGGGGAAACAGCAATATTCAAACCAGAAATTGACAGGTTGGAAAAATGGCGCGGTAAAATCAAATATAATGGTAAGAATCAGGCATGCAACGACCCTTCGATAATACATCAAATAGGCCATTGATTGATTTACTAATGGTAAAGATGCTATTCCTACGGGTAATACATCGGATTGAGTAGCCTTTAAATCCACCAACCTCGAACAATCATGAGCAATTATTGGCTGTATTAAATTTGATTTGTTCTGATTAACTTTATCCCTAGACAAATCTGGACTATTAACCGAGTCTTTATTGTTTTTACCTACAATATCTAATGTTGAAGCATCTTGTTGCATAATTTCACTATGTTTTTTATCATCAATAAGTTTCTTTTTATTAAAAGGTCTAACCGGCGTCTTGCCTTTATCCTTTTTAGGATGATCTGATGATGAAGTTTGAAATTGAGGTATTTCGTTATACTCGGGTTCTTTTATCTTTTCAGCAATTGTAACGCCTAAATCAACTTGCGTCTTTATTTGTTCGTTGTCTATAACACATTCTTCATGAATTTTATTATCTTTGTTGTCTTCAGAACTATCAACCGTTGATATATCATTATGTTCATTTTGGATTGTTGATATAATAGGCGAAGCAATTTCTTGATCAGTATGTACAGATAAATTTGTATCATTTTTTGATGCCGATGCAATATCATGCGATGTGAGAACAAGAGATTCGGTTTGTTCATTGTGTTTTATAGAATCGTGAAATGTTGATGGTGAATGCTCAACGTTCTCAACAAACCCGGTTATTGTTTCGTCTATTGATTCTTTAACATCCACAACATCTGAATTGACCTGCTCTGCGATGTTATCTAGTCTAGCTTGTTCTGTAATATCACTAAGTTCAATTTGTTCTGCGATATCATCTGGTTTAAAGTTTTGTTCACTTTGATTATCTGCGTCTCTGGATAGTATAATAGTCGGTTCATCTTGCATATCATTTTGAATGTTGTCTTGAATGTTGTCTTGAATGTTGTCTTGAATGCTGTTTTGAATGTTATGTTGAATGCTGTTTTGAATGTTATCTAGAATGCTGTCTTGAATGCTGTCTTGAATGCTGTCTTGAATGCTATCTTGAACGTCTTCTTGAACGTTGTCTTGAACGTTGTCTTGAATATTGTCTTGAATATTATCATGAACGTTATCTGAGAGCATTTGAGTAGCTAATCTTGCTATTTCATCGCCGTATTCAGAATTTGATGCATGACATTGGTATTGTTTCTCTTGTTCAATAAACACATCTTCCAGCCTTACGATCTGCTGATGAGTGCATTCTTCACGTGGTTCAAGAATCTCTTTATGTAATTCATGTTTATCAAATTGATAATCCTGAGACTCCATTATATCATCGATTGATTCATCAATTTGTTTATCTTTCTCAATGTGATTTTCTAATACTGGAACACTTTGTACATTATTTTGTAAGTCCAAATTATAATGTTCATCACGAAATTCACTATTTTCTAAAGTAATATTGTGCGGCTCTACAATATTCACGTTTTCTTCAGCAACCTCGAACGCATCAACTTTTATATATAGTGTTCTAATTATGTCCGTATGATCTTTCTGCGTTGTGTTATCTTCAGACGATTCTATAGGATATTGAAGTTCAGAACTTAATTCGGGATCCTCAACATCCTTGACTTGTAAAGTTGTTTCATTCTTAAATATATCCTGGTCAACTTCCTTCAATAATGTTTCCGTAATATCACAACTTTTTTCGCATTCACTAGATTCATCTTTTATTTCAATTTGATTTGCGAAGGATTCTTTGTTTGATAATTCAATTTGGTAATGTATAGTGGACTGTTCAATCTCTAATTTATCGTTATTTTGCGTGACATATTCCAACACTCCTACTTGATCATCCACCGACGGCAACACATTATCATCATGTATTATAATGATATCTTCTTGCGTAGTACATTTTTTTATTTCCAAATCAGATAGGTCATTTCTCATAGGGTTATAATTCACATCTACTACTTTTTGAATCTGTTCTTGGTTTATATCTTCTTCCGCTATAAATAATGAATCTTTATCTTGTGTAATTATTATTTCTTGTATAGTACATTGTTCAATATTAAAATTGTTCTGAACATCATTATCGTTATTGTCCAATACTGTCTCAATTAGTATTTCCTCATCAACTGTCATGTTTTCTTTTATCATCTGTGACGTACTCTCATCCTGTGTCAATGCACTCTCATCCTGTGTCAACGCGCTATCATCTTGTGTTAATGCACTATCATCTTGTGTCAATGAACTATCATCCTGTGTCAACACACACTCATCCTGCGCCAACGAACTCCCATCCTGCGTCAACTCATTCTCATATTGTGTCAACGCACTCTCATATTGTGCCAACATACTCTCATATTGTGTCAATGCACTCTCATCCTGTGTCAACGCACTCTCATATTGTGTCAATGCATTCTCATACTGTGCTAACATACTCTCATATTGTGTAAAAGCACTCTCATCCTGTGTCAACGCACTCTCATCTGGTGTAAGCGCATTCTCGTCCTGTGTCAACACACTCTCATCCGGAGTCAACACAATTTTATTTTGTACCATAGATTGTTCTGCCTTTACATCTAATGTATCATCTTGTATAATGTGATCATCGTTAGCTATTAGTGATACATTATTGTTTTGGATTCCATCATGCGTAGCGACTTCTAAAGCAGAAGGATTATCTATGGTGCAACGATCTTCAGAGGAACTTTTATGATTAATATTTTTTATGCTATCATCTTCCAGAGATGTAGTGCCTTGCTCAATTTTTTCTACAGGTGATGTGCTATCTTCTGAATTTCCCAATATTTTAAGTTCTAATTCATCTTGTTCAATTTCTTTCATCAATTTTTCAATCTCTTCATCAATATCGCTACAATCGCCGTCATCATTTAAATTCGATGGTTCACTACTTTCTTCCAAAGCAGAAGATTTATCTGACTCATTTTGCACAACACTCCTTGTAGGTTTTTCAATATTGGCAGAAGAGTTTGGAGGTTTGTTCTCATTGTCAAAAAGAATTTCATCCAAAATTTCTTCGATTCGTTTATCAAAATCTTCTCGTGACCCAAAACTCTTTCTAGGTTTTCTGAATGAAGAATCATTCACAATCTTACTTTCATCATTCAAAGCAAAACGCATTATTTCATCAATTTCATTTATTGCATCGTGCTTCGTATCATGTTTTGTATAATGTTTTGTATCATGATTATAAGCCATATTTTTATCATTATCATTTACAATTGTTTTTTTTTCGATTGTCTTTAAACTATTATAAATATTATCCGAGGATATTTTATCTGATTTGACAGTAGAAATGGTATTTTCTAAATCTTCATTAAATTTAGAACTGGAAAAATAATTCTTTGAATCATATTGTTCATGTTCAGGAATGATAAATTCCTGCAAAGCCGAAATCATCTCACAATCATCATGCGTGTGATATAATGCGATTTTTTTCCTAAAGTGTTTTCCTAAACGGAACTTAGAAACCATAGTCGGGAGTCATTATTATAAATGCCAGAAATTTTCCGTATGTCGAAAAATCGAGGCGTATATTGTCTTACGTAACTACCCAAGAACACCTCCAAAAATTCTGCGCACCAATCAGCTTTCAAGATCAGATGTAACGTGAAATTATGCACTTTTTGAAAAATCGTTTGTAGCTCAAAATCTTGCCTATGAAACTGCCTTTTGTGTTC